AAGCCAGGATCTCCATGGCACCTGCTCCCTAAGGGCCCCCTCCCAGTCCTGCCCACCTGAATTCTTCCTCTGCCAGATCACAACTCCAGCAATGACTGCAATGAGGAGGAGGAGGAGGACAGCAATGACCACCACAATGAACCAGGGGAATGAGGACTCTGGCTCTGAAATGGAAAAGGGCAGTGAGAGGCCCTGAGATTCACTAACCCCTCCCCCACCTCCCTCTGGGCTTTTGGGGTCACGGTCCTTACCCCACTTCAGGGTGAGGGGCTCAGGCAGTCCCTCGTGCTGCACTCGGCAGGTATATTTCTCTTCCTGGCCCGAGGTCACGTCCACACCTGCCCACTTCTGGAAGGTCCCGTCTCCCGCTGGCCTGGTCTCAATGAACTCCATGTCCTGGAGCTGCTCCTCCCCATCCCGCAGCCAGGTCAGGGAGATGTCCGCGGGGTAGAAGTCCTGGGCCCGGCACCGAAGGGTCACCTCCCCGTGGGGGGCAGTATGGCGGGTCACTCGAGCGGAGGGCGGGTCTGGAGGCAAAGGTCAGCGGGATTTCCAGGTTCTTCCCCCCCTTCCCTCCAGGGACACAAGAACAGGTGGGGGCAGGGGGGCACTCCGCAGTCCGGGACGTGGGGTGCAAGGGGTGCCCGGGGGCCGGGAGCCCGGGGCTGGGGCTGCAGGGGAGCGGGGGCCCTGAGTGCCGCACACACTGGGGGGGGGGGCGTACCTGCCCGCTGCAGCGTCTCCTTCCCCATCTCCAGGTACTTCTTCACCCACAGCACGCACTCCTCCTCCAGGTAGGCTTTCCAATCCTCCGTGATGCTCCTGTCCGCCTCCCTCTTGCGCTTGGTGTTCACAGCGGGCGGCACCGCCGCCGTCCACGTGGAGGTCTCCGTGTCCAGGGCGATGTAGTCCCGCCCGTCGTAGGCGTCTTGGAAAAACCCGCGCTGGAAGGTGAGCTCGGGGGAGACCTCGCAGCCGTACATGCGCTGGAGGGTGTGGACCCCTGCCCCGCCCCCGGCCCGGGTCAGCGGCCGGCTCGGGCTGCTCCCTGCCCCGCCCCCACGCGGTCCTCCAGCTCCGGGACCACCCCCCCGTGGGAGCCGCGGTGACCCTCCGCCCCTGGGCGTGACCGCACCCGGTCACGCACCGCCCTCGCTCTGGTTGAAGTAGCCGCGGAGGATCTTCAGGCCCGCTCGGAAATTCTCTGCGTTCTGCCTGGCCTTCCGTGTCTTCAGCTCCCAGTAGTCCGGGTCCTCCCGGTCCATCCGCTCCATCCACGCCGCCCGCGGCTCCATCCTCGGACTCGCGCGGGCGCTGTCGAAGCGCACGAACTGCTGATCGTCCACGTAGCCCACTTTGATGAACCGCGGCTCCGCGAGCCCGGGCGAGGCCATGGCGGCGTCGAAATACCTCATGGAGTGAGAGCCTGGACGTGGCCACCCGGGCCGGGGTCAGGGGTCAGGGCGGTGACCGCGTAGACACGGCCTGTCTGCCGCGAAGGCGGGGTGCGGCCCCTGACCCCGTGCCGACCGGGGGCGCGACCCTTGACCCCGACACACCCGGGGCGACCCTTGACCCCGTCGTGTCCAGAATGTGACCCCGTACCCCTAAACCCCGGTATCCGGCCCCTCCGCCCCCAACAGTGATGGCGCGCACCGCGCCGGGAGGTAATAATTCTCGAGACTACAGCGCTTTGAGATCAGCAAAACGCCTTCACTGACAACCGACAACCCAGGCAGGTCCCAGTGCCCCTCCATCTGAACCTTGGCCCCCCCACCCCCACCCCACCTCTGGTCCGG